GTTGCAGCATGCAGGATCTTCAATCTTCCTTGTGGCATGTGAACTCTTAATTGTGGCTTGCAGGATCTAGTTCCCTGACTGGGGTTGGAACCTGGTCCCCCTGCATTGCGAGCATGCAGTCTTAGCCACAGGACCACCAGGGAAGTCCCTACATGTGCTATATTTGACAGTATCTATGTATCTATATCTATGTCTTGATCTATACCTATACCTCATCAGAAATATATATGTATCTCCTTAGGGAATTTCTATGGGAACTGCTAGGGACAGGGTGAGGGAGATGGAGGAGCCTGAACAATACACAGGGAGTGAGTAATTGTGGGTTATAGTAGGAACTGGAGTCAAGGAAGAAATGGCCCCATTGAAGAGCCTTTTTAGGAGTAAAATAGGGATCTTTCCTCTCTCCAGGCATGGTTTTTGCATCTCCACAGATGAGGCCAAATGCAAGCCACATGTGGTGACCTGTGCAATGTGCTAATGAGTTACTTATATAAACAGACCAAAGCAGGCTAACAGTCCCATAAAGATCACACATAAAGATAAACTGCTAGAATAACATCACTGTTTCTGAAGATAAAGTCAGCTAATACTAATGGCACCATCCTGTGTTTGTGTGGCCCCATCTCCAAATAGCACAAGATACTGGAAAAAATGTTGTGTAAATTCAAACAGCATGATTTTTAGTATCTCTAAAATATACAAATCCTCATTGTAAAGGCAGTTTTGAAAGCTTGCCGGCACTCTGAAGCATGAACTTTTGCAGAGATAGTGCAGTATGTTTACAGCTTTGTTCCCTCTATATTATGCCTCTGGTGCAGCTGTAATTGTATCGGAGGTACTTGTTGATTTTCCTTGGGCTGAGGAATGGCAGGGTTGGTGCCTCCACTGGCTTAGTTGAATGGACTGCCTTGGGGTCTGAAGGGAGTCTCTATTTCCCAGCTGGAATGGTAGCAGTTGAGGTGATGTGAAAAAATGATGCAAAGTTGGCATGCAAGAGAATGGAGATAAATAGGATGCAGAGGGAGAAATGAATGGAAAAGAACTGACTTTGTTGGAGAAAGTGGGTGAAATGGGTGGGAGGATGGGCATGACAAGGTGAAAAATGATAGAAGATCAGGTATGGGTAGGAGAGATGCCCACTGTAATTTTACCTTTTAGGTTCTATTTTATTGAAAGACATCTTTATTGAAGATGACACTCTGAAATGAAGATGTCCTAGCCTAAAGAGACCCTCTGATCCCATGTCACTAATAGTATGCCATGTTTTACATGTTTGCCATTTTTAACCAAGAGGATACTGTTAGAGGGAAAAGAGCATTGCTGAAGACATAAACCTTTCAACATTTGGATTTGATGAACAGTAGTAAAAGTGGAGCTCAGGAAAGGTAAGAAAAGTGATAAAAACTACCACTGTTTTGAAATTGCCTAGCCTGGGTTTTACTTCTGTTGGAGCTGCTGCTGCTGTTCAGTTGCTCCGTTGTGTGTGACTCTTTGCTACCCCACGGACTGTAGCCTGCCAGACTCCTCTGTCCGTGGGATTTCCCAGGCAAGAATACTGCAGTGGGTGGTCATTTCCTCCTTCAAGGGATCTTCCCAACACAGGGATCGAACCCGAATCTCCTGCTTGGCAGACAGGTTCTTTATTACTGCGCTACTTGGGAAGCCCAGGTGGGGAATAACAGGAAATAAAAATGTGGGGTAGAACATCTGTTACTTCAGTGATTCTCACCACTATACAACTGTTGCCCGTTTCCTGGCCTGGTTTTGTGACCACTTTGCCTTCTATCCCTGCTACCCCAAATCTGGTATGGCATATACTAAATGTACACCCCCCCCTCACACACAGACAGATATCAGGGTTGCTGAGCTGTTTTAAGAATTTTACACAGGCTGCCAATTGAGAGAATTGTAGAGATGTGGATGAATGCTGGACTGGCTGGGTTTTAACAGGGGTTCTCTGAGGTTAAAACTAAGGTAAGTGGGCTAAGCGATGATGAGAAGATTTTTTTGTTCTTTAAATAATGTCTGCAGTGAGACATCTATGGGGTTGATTGCTCTGTACTCCTTTTCTAAGGAAAGTTTCATATCCCCATTTGAAAGGCTACTTATGAAGATGGCCATATGAGAAGATTGTGACACGTCCACGGGCCTGGGTGAGCAGGTTCCTGGTGAGTCAGATGGGCCAGTCATGTGACCTTGCCCTGCTCCCACCTGGGTCCACCTCTTTCAGGACTTTTTGTACTTGGGCTACAGATTTTTGGGGTCAGTCTCCAAGCACGTGGATGTGGCTGTGATTATAAAATGTAAAATTCAGGAGCTGCTTTGACCATGTGGAGGACGCCATTATATAGGGGAAAAAGAACAAAGCCTGTGCACAGAGTAAAGCAAAGATTAGTGATGGAGAAAAAGCATCTTCATGGCATCAAGTCACTGGGTCTAGCTGTTCCAGCCCCAAATGACACTATTTATACACTGAATCACCGATGGCTCAGTGGTTAAAAAATCCATTTGCTAATGCAGGAGACTTGGGTTTGATACCTGGGTCAGGAAGATCCCCTAGAGAAGGAAATGGCAACCCACTCCATTATTCTTGCCTGGGAAATCTCAGGAACAGAGAAGTCTGGCGGGCTGCAGTCCACGGGGTTGCAAAGAGTCCGACACAACTGAATGACTAAACAACAATACACTGATTACAGGCTGATAAGAATGTGTCTGGCTGGAAAGTGACTTGATTGCACAAAATTATAAGCTATGCCTACCAATCATTATACTATCTATGTAACCTAAAAATTTCTCTTGCACTTAATTTTTCTCCTTGAACCTACTATTGCCTCAACCAAAAGTTCAAGTGAAAACCAACAAGAAAGTGTAATTCAATAAAATATTTATCATACCATGTTAGGTATGGTAGAGTACAAAGAAGTATTGTTACCAAACCAAACCTGAGTCTGCTCACCTGACTCCTGGTAAAGCCAATCTACTGATATCAGGTTGTGGTGAAGGAAAGTATAGTGTTTATTGCAAGGTGCCCAAAGTGGTCTTTAAAGGCCATATTGTAGGTGACATTGTAGGTGCCTGATCAGTGTGGACATTCTTCTGATTGGTTGGCAGTGAGGTAACGGTGGTGTTTTGGGAGTTAACCATCATCAGCCTTCTGGTTCCAACTGATCTGGGGTCTAAGTGCTTGTAATCAACATTCAGGTGGGGGTTTTAGTATCTGTAAAAAAAAAATCAAGGATATGGCTCAGGATTCTATCTATCACTCTTGTGCTATATGCTAAGTTGTTTCAGTTGTGTCTGACTCTCTGTGACCCCATGGACAGTAGCCCGGCAGGCTCCTCTGTCCATGGGATTCTCTAGGCAAGAATACTGGAGTGGGTTGCCATGCCCACCTCCAGGGGATCTTCCCAACCAAGGGATTGAACCTGCATTTCTTACGTCTCCTGCATTGGCAGGCGGGTTCTTTATCACTAGTACCACCTGGGAAGCCCCAATAGCTCTTGAGGAGTAACTAAAAGTCCTTGACTTTGCTTTATGGCTAAATTATTTTGTCTTGCTTGACTGTTTTCCTTTGCTTCTGTATTTTCTCACTTCTCCAATTAAATTAGCTCTATGGAACTTGGGGCAGAACTATGAGGCTAAAGCTTTTCTACAAATGAGAGGCAGGGGACATGGTCGGGGTGGGGGTAATTGGTCCCTGGTAAGGCCCTATAGGGTCCTGCTCTGTTTCAGTAGAACTGTCACAAAGCAAAACAAAAGCATCACTGGAAAGGTATGGACAATATGAACAAAAAGAAAGGTGAGATCCCCGCAGGCCAAAAGGAGAGTGGTATTTCAGGAGTTAACCATCATCTGGATGTGGGACTGATAAAAGCAGGGAAAGTTAGGTGGAGAGGAAAGAGGAAGCCAAAGACCACGGTCCATCTGTAATTCATAAATTGATTTTTTTAAAGCCAGCTTAATTAAAACTAACAGATTTTTAGTAAGCATGGGGTATCAGAAAAAGCATACAATATCGACCCTGCCTTATAGGAAATTACCATCTTCAAGGACAATGCAAGACATGCATATATTTTGGAAAGATCCCTTTCATTTCCTTCTTTTCTTTCGTCCTTTGACTGCTTTATCACGTTTGAAACGATGCAATTTGCTAACTTGCTTGATGATTATAAGGTAAGCCTCCTAAGGGCAGGGAGTATTGTCTCTTTTGCTGCATCTTCAGAATCTACATCGTCCCGCACACTGCAAACAGCTGTATAAGAATTTGTTGAATGAATTGGAGAATCACAGCCTAGGGTAACATCGTCTTAACTTTCTGGCCTTGAATCTCTTTCGGCGGGCCAAGATCTCCCACTGCCAAACGCTAGGGGGCAGACCGAGATTAGAAAAGGAACAATTTTTCCCCCGGAGGGCAGAGTTCTCAAACTTTGCTAACGTTAGCATCACCTGGGTCGCCTTTAGACATACTGCACCAGGATGATGATGATGTTGTTCAGTCGCCAAGTCGTGTCCAACTCTACCTTTGACTAAATCAGCATCTCCAGAGGGTGGGGCCCTGAGTGGGATAACGGAGACAAGCTCCAAGGACGCGGCTGAACCTAGCCTCTGCGTCACACTCCGGTGCCGCCGGGTGCATTTCATCCACAGTAGACGTGATAGGCCAGTGTCGTAGTCAGCAACACTCCCGGCGCTGCTGATTGAGCGGGAACCTGGGGGGGATTTCAGCTTCTCGCCAATGAGTGGGGCTGCAGGCGCAGCGTGGCCCCGCCCCCGGGCAACGAGGCCCCGCCCTTGGACAGCGAGACTCCGCTCCCGGACTGCGTAGCCCCGCCCCCAGCCCCCTTCCGCGGCCTTGGTACAAGGGTGTGGTCTGGGTGAGGGCCGGTCCGGCGCCTGAGCGCTGTCTTCGTCTTCGCGCTTTCCATTACTTCAACTTCTCTCCAGCGACCGGTGCGTGGGGCCCGGCTCTGTGGTCACGCGTGCAGCGGCGGCCAAGCGCGATGAGGCGAGCGGCGCTGCGGTAGGTAGCCGGGCGCCTGGCGGGGCGCGGACCCAGGGGCGCCCACTCCCTCCCTCGGCGGTACTAGCGGGCCCGGGCGGAAGGAGCGGGCCGCAGCAGGCGGAACTAATGCCGGGGGCTTATGGGCAGACAATAGGGTTGGGTAGGGAAGGGCACTAACGTACCGTGACCCCGCTGGCCTCGGGCGGGGCACCGCACCCCCCCACCTGCGCGTCTCCTGGCCGGAGTTTGAGGATAAAAGTGAAGCGACTCTTGAAGGGAGGAAGTTCGGCGTTCCCTGACATTCTTTTCTTTTAGCTCATCTGGGGTGTAGTGTGGAGTTAGCCTCTTGTCAGAAGGCTAGAGTTTAGAAGTGCACATTACTTTTACCGCCCTCTGCGCTTCTTTGCAGAGCATGTTTAAGGTTAAGTGCTTGACAGACTTGGACTCTGACTTGAGTGTGTTGTAATGTGGGTAGAGATTGCAGGGTACCTTCCGGCCTCTCAGGACCTCAGAACTGTGTGACTAGGTCTCCTGGTGCTGATTGAACTTAACTTTTACAGAGCAGCAAGACCCATAAGGCCAGGTGGGGGAGTGGCTTTGATTTGGGCCACTTGGACAAGGAGGATGCCTTTTAGTGTAAGTCATCATCCCAGCTTGTCCAGTGACGATTTAAGACTTTAGACTCCAGGGTATGTCTGGCTCTGCCCCAACCCGCCACACCGGAGCACTCCAGCTGTTCCAAGATCTTTCTGCTTGGTTGCGTCCCAAGGGGCCGACCCTTGTTGCAGCTTCTGAATTCATCCTGCTGCAGGTGCACCAGCCCTCCCTGGTGTGGCCCACAGTGGTTCCGAGTGACGGAGATCCCCAGCCGTTCTCTTGGGGGCCCTGAGTCTCTCTCATTGTCCCTGTGGACCCTGTGTCAGTTGAAAAAGGTTCTCTGCGTCTGTCTGTCTCTTATTTCCTCATTAACTTTGTTTTACTGCTTGAAGACAGGTTGAAAGTCATTAGGAGAAGAACCACAGTTGCCTTTAGCTTGTATTGACATGATGTGACAGGCCTTGTACAATCTCCAGGGTTTTGTCCATGTGCCTTCTCCCAGAAAGCCTGCCTTGATCTCTCCTCTCCTCCATTCAGAAGTCCTCCTTTTTGCCGTGAGCTCCTTGTATAGCTGCCATTCCTTTCTTGTGATTCTTGTAGAACCTCAAGCAGGTACTCTGTTACTGTCTAGTGAGAGTACATAAATGAGTACAGACTGTCTGGCATGTTTAGGTTATTTGACTGGTGGGCGGTTTTTGTAGTTTGTTTTTTTCCCCTTACTGGTGGAAGCGTCACCTATATTTGTTTAGTCTCTAAACTGAGGCATTTTTCCTAAGTGGAGTGCCTGTGAGTGTCATTGCCTGGTTTTGTACTGAACACTTCCCAGACACCCATCCTAAGCCTGGAACCCAGAACAGTTAAGACTTCTGTTCACACCTGCATGCGACTTTGGTGACTCCCTTCGGTAGCCATGGAGAGGTTGGGTTCCTTAGTTTCCTTTCATTGGGAAGGTTCAGTAACGGAGTCCTAGGGCCTGACTCTCCTAGAGGCCTCTTGACAGTTTCTGCTAAAGGCCTAGAGGTTTTGCTGTAGTTAAGACTCCAGAGGGCTCATTGGGGAATAAACCAGTAACTGAGGTACTGAGATGTTAGGCAGTGGTTGAAGCATTCCACTACCCCCCCACCCCTGCCTTCTCAGTGTCTGGTAGATAAAGAGAAGTAGCCCGGGGTTATGAAAAGAGCAGCTTCCCTACATGTGTGGGTTGTGTTGGGGGTGAGGAGGGATCAGAAGAACTTGGCTCTATTCAGTGTGCTAGTTGACTGGCAGGGGAAAAGTCATTTAATTCCTTTGGGCCTTAGTTTTTCCAGGAGGTTGATCTGAATCACAATATTTTAAGTCTAGGGACCCATGGAGTGTCCATGGGGTGTCAAAAGGGAGTGGTCTGTGAACCATCTGAAATAATATATACCATTGTGTGTATCAATAAAATATATTCCCCCACCCCAGCTACTAGGCATGAGGGGCCACAGGTTTCATCAGATTATCAGTAGGGACAACATGAAATTGTAGTGAAAAGTTACAATACACTGAATATTCACAGAATAGAAATTTGTTATATGGATACATGATTAGTATAATCAATGATTTTTTAAAAGAGCATTGACATTAGGCCTTCATTGTGCTACAGGGATGTATTTCCACATTTTTTATGGCAGTGTGCAAAGAGCAGGGCTGCAGAACCACAGTTTTCCAAATAATTTGACCCAAGTTTTTCTCTGTATTTATCAACTCCTTTCTTTACTATCTCCATTTGACACTCTATTCAGAGATGGTCCATTATAGTGTCTGGCTTATTCCCAAACTTCTGGTCATTTTTGACTTTTAGGGGAGACTTTGAAGAAGCATGCCTTTCTGGAATAGCTCATGTTTTTTGAGGACTTGTCAGTGTACTAGACATGCCCCTCACAGGTTAATGTGTGTTAACTTCTCTGTTTTACATATGAGGAGACTGAAGCTCAGAGAGGTTAGGTAACTTGCTCAAGGTCACTCAGCTAACAAGCAGCATGGTCAGGCTCTTAACCTCTGTGTACTACACCACTCTTCACTCAGGCAGAGTGAGATGGTTTTCCTCAGTCTGCAGAAAATGCTGCTTTTTAAGGAACAAGAAAGAATGCTTGTATAAATGTGTATTCACTCAAATATATGAGATGAGTTGTATAGCTCCTGTTAGTTTGTGATTAGTATTTGAAGTATTTACCCACCCAGAGTCAGATCTCATTTCTTATATTGTGATCATCTACTGCATCTATTATTGTTCCCAGTTAATGTATTGAGGGCATGATTTTTTGCTCTTTCAGCTAATAGTGGCAATGGAAGATTTTTAGCTTTTTCCAGTGTGCTTTTTAAAACCCAATATATTCAGTTGCAGAATAGTAGTTTCTGAGATGGCAGAACGAAGGACCACATGCTGTATTTCCTTCAGTGAGGGGTTTGAACCTACAGAGTATACAGAAAGTGAAATAGTGAAAAAGTTCAGCTCATGTTCTAAGAAAATGCAAATTAGAAGGTCAAGAGTAAGAAGATTATGATATTAATCCACATATAAAAATACAGAAATGGAAAATTTATTGGGAAAAGATAAACCAAAACTGTGTAAGATAGAGTCTTGTTAGCTGTGTGATTGGAGAATAAACACAAAACCAAAAGCTGAACCCTTTAGGAAGCATTCTAGTCTTAGTGCATGAGCGGGGAGCATATCAGAGACAGTGTGATGTCTGGCTGGCTAAGGAGTTAATTTAGCCACTGAGCATGTGCTCCTTTCTGCATTCTTTGCAGTTAAGAGTAGTTGACTTGGTGAAAGGACCAGGATTTGTTCTAGTAGCACATGGCTGAAAACTACATGGAGATTTTACCAGATATTTTTAGTTAGAGACCCTTTGTGAATGCTGTAATTCAGAAGAGAAATCTATAGTAAATTTGGACTCTAAAGAAAATAAGTTGGTTATTACTGAACCTGGCGTTAGGTAGTAAGAATTTACTAGTCACTTGAGCTGGAATGAATAACAATATCTGGGGTTTTGACATTTTCAATGCCTTGCCTTAGTCCACTGGGCTCTCAACAGATCAGTCTGTCAGTCCCTGATACTATATGTGTGTTATCCCTGATAGCAGAGTATGTGGTTAGGAGTCAAAACTTATGTATTAGCCAAAATCAAGTTAAACAGCTTGTTTTGGGGGAACAGGTTAACCATATTTGGGTGAATACCTTGGATTTTAGGAAATTTCTGCCTAAGTACAATAAATACTCTCTTTGAGTAACCCTGGAAAGGGTTAATTCTGTTTTCAAAGTTGATTGACTTTTAATTGGGTTTAGTTTATTTATTGAGGAAGTATGGTATGACAATAACAAAATAAATATTCTTAGTTTACTCAGCTGTTTACCAAATAGATTCTGGGCTTCTGAAGCTAGTAAGTTAGAACCATGAAACCTGGTTGATATCTTTTATTTATTTATTTTGTAGATTGTTAACTTAATTTACTCTCATTGGAGAGATGGTTTATGGTGTACCTCATAAGCAAATGTACATACACTTGAGAAACAAGTGCAGACACTGTAAAGACAGTATTTACTAAGAGTGTGCAATGGCAAAGTGCTCCAGAGGAGGCACAGATCTTTGGGACTGCGAGTAAAGAAGCCATGGAACCTTTTCTAAGTGTGTTTCTTCTTGTTTTATAGGCTTTGTACCCTGAGCAAGGGGCTGCTTGCTCCCAGCAGAGGACTGACTCAAGAACCTCAGAACCTGGAGAATGTCTTCCACATCAGTGAAGGCAAGCATGTGTACTTACCTTTTAGGCCCATATAGGGGAAAAAAAACACCCTGTTTTATTTGAGAGGCATGTAGATAGACAGTTAGGGCAAATGAGGCATAGTAAAGGTTGCTTTTTCATAAGCTTATCATTTATAAAATGACCAAGATAGCTTTGGATAGAAATCACATTCAGAACTTGACCTTTGGCTCCTGCAAGCCTTAGGGACTGAGCTTTTAGTTAAATGATTTTTACGTCCTCTGTGTAGGTACTGAAGGGGAAGGCATGGAAAAAAGATGTAATTCATGAGCAAGAGACAGGCCCTTCAGTTGTACCAACTAAAGACTCCTAGTCTGTAGTTTTGTTAGAGATATCCTATTAATCTATGGTTAATCGAAGTTATTTTCAGTTACTAATACGATATGGAAACTATGGATGTCTATGTCAGTGTAGGAATATTCATTATAATGAAAATTATGGCTTCTTTAAAGGATCCAAGTATATATATATATGTATATTTTATGTATATTTAAAATTTTGTGTGTATATATACACACATATATATATTAATAAAATTTGCTTTGTTTTCTTGGCCCTCAGCACCTGCCTCTCTTTTTAAACTCATTATAAACTAATAATAATCGTTTTTATCACTGAGCATCAGTGAATCTGTGTACTATTTGGGATACTTTCTGTCCATTCTTTTATTTAAAGGATTTGAGAGGAAAAAAAAGTCAGAAATAAGACTAATTTACTAATGGATATTTGTGGCACAGTACTCTGTGGTTTTATTGTAATTAGAGTTTGGACCTAATTTGTGGTATATAACAGTTGGGTTTTTTTGGCCACACTGTGGGGCTTGTGGGATCTTAGTCCCCTGACCAGAGATTGAACTCGGGCCCCAGCAATGAAAGTACAAAGTTCTAACCACTGGATCACCAAGGAATTTGCTATGACAGTTGTTTGATAGAAAAATCAACCACTTTTTCATGAAAAGTAAAATGCATGTTCATCTAAGCATATTTGGTTTTGATCGCTTAGTTTTTGAAGGAACAAGGATTGCTGTATGTAATTTTCTATAACCAGAATGTATATTTTAAAATGCTAGATAACAATGCATTAACTCAAAACATTATTTAAAATCCTATAGATTTATTTTTTAATGTTGACTAACTACTGTTTAATCTGTTTCCCCTTTATCCATATAGCATGTTCACCTATACATGTGAATCACGGTGTGTGTGTGGTAATTGGTATCAACTCTTTTTTTAAGTGCTTAAATTTTTTTTGCACTAATTTATTCTTGCAGTTTGGGGCAATGGGCATTAACTAAACTTAAATTGCTTTCTTTGCCTTTCCTTTTTTGCTTCATTTTCCTTGCCTCAAATTTTTTAACATTTAGGGTAATGTAAATAAATGTATGAGAAATCAATTAGAGTGAGACTCAAAGTTTGATATTAGTCCCACTGCCTATAAGAAGATAGGCTGGGATTCTGTTCATAATGTCTTCATCATAAAGGGACTCCTACTGATGCTGATACATGGCCTCATTTGATGAATAATCAGAGTTACCCTTTTCTGCTTATTTATAAGGAAAAAAAGTTTAGGTTTTTCCGTACCATCTTATGGAAAACCCGATCTTTTTGGCCAGCCCAGTAAGTCCCAGTGATTGACACAGGATATTCTTTTCTGCACTAAGGAAGGAGAAGGAAATGGCAACCCACTCCAGTGTTCTTGCCTAGAGAATCCCGTGGACAGAGGAGCCTGGTGGGCTGCTGTCCATAGGGTTGCACAGAGTCGGACATGACTGAAGTGACTTAGCAGCAGCAGCAGCACTAAGGAAACAGTAATTGTTTCAAGTTTTGGGGACTCAGAGGCCTGATCCCTTCCCTGAGCTGTTTGTTTATGGCATTAAATGGAAATTCATGGCTCTTTGAAGATTTTGAATGCATGACTCACTTTTTGGAGTTCTGGAGCTCATTGCTGTAATCCAGTTCTCACATTCTTAGTTTCATGGAATGATCTCTTTATTTTTATTTCAGTTCGAGATAAGTTGCGGGAGATAGTAGGAGCATCCACAAACTGGAGGTATGCACTCTGTGTTCATTCTTTCTTCTATCTATGGAGTGGTATGCCAGGCTTATTTAGGCTCAGCTGATGCTCCCATTGCGGGAATGGGGGAAACTCATTGTTAAGAAATGGATTGAGAGGTTTTTTCACTTGGGGGAGAAGATCAACATTCCAACAATACTCATCAGTTGATGCTTTGTTGTCATAAAATCATGTAATTTACATGTACTCTACATTTTTCAAAGTGCATTCAGGTATATTACCTCACTGGTTGTCAGTGAAACTTAGAACATGCTTATGACATATGTTTCTGTTCCTTTTTTGCATATGATGAGACTGAAACTCAGACATTGAACGATTGAGTACTGGGGTTTGGAACTTGACCCCAAGTTTCCTGGTTCATCTGTTTAATGAAGCATGACTCCTTTATTGCTTCTTATGAGTTCACAATTAACCAGATCTCCCATACAATCTTTATCTCTCAGTATTTCCTTGTTGTAAAATAGGGTAGTATCCCTCTTGGTGCACAGAATTTTGAGGCTAAAATGAGATAAAGAGAAAGCACAGTAATAATAATCTATTGTTGGTATAAAAATTACCTAATGACTTCTTTTTATCTCATTGTATGAAAAATTTCAATTTACTGAAAAGTGGAAAAAATGAATACCTTTTGTTCCCACCATCTGAATTAGGTACTTAGGAACATTTTTCCAAATTTGCCAATTTACATATACTGGATATATAGGTTCATGACACTTCATGTTCCAGTACATTGCTAATAAATAAATATGCTTTCCTGTGTAACAAAATAAGCAGTTGTAAATCTCCAATAAGTAAGATGTTCTCTCATGTGGTGAAATTGACAGTAATTCCCTAATAGTATATTATTCATCCATATTCAGCATTACTCCATTGTTCCCCACATATTTTTTTATAACTTTTAATAAAAATCAAGATCCAGTAAACGATTGCATGCTTATGACGCTCTTGTCTCCCCTAATGTAGAATAATAATTACCCCTGCCTCCTTTTTTATCCCTATGAGTTTAACTTTAAAGAGGCCAAGCCATTTGTCTTGTTGAATGTTCCATATTCTGGACTTACCTGGTTCCATTTGTAGGCTCCACCTTTCTGGCAGTTATACTTCATAAGTAAGCTTAGAAAGACAGCTTAATGAATGACACTGTGAACATTTTAGTTCCCTATCCCCTTGTGTGTCTCTTCTCTTCCACCTTAATTGTCTCTTCTTTTTCTTCCCTTTCTGTCTTCTTTTCATATTATCTTCCTCTTTACCTTTTGGTCTGCCTTCCAAACTTCTTTTGGATATACTCCTTTTTCCTCCTCTGTCTCTCTTTCCTGAAATTGAAGGCAGAGAGAGAGAGAGAGCTGGGGCACAGAAAAAACGAGACTTGTCCAGGTGAGAAATGGGAATATGGAGTTCAATGGCCATGTTGTTCTTTAGTGCATTTACATATATATTTATATATATCTTTTTATTTTGTCCATTTCTGTATTTTTAGTTTGATTTCCAAGATTCTGTTCTTTGAATACACTTTTTGATGAGAGTGAATATATCGTTCATTTGGATATATCTGTATCACTTATAAGTGTATTTTTCTTATCTACTAGGCTGAGAAATTATAAAAGAAATTTTTAATTTCACCAAGTGGCAGGTGGGAAGGGAGGGAAGGAAAAGGAGATGAAGTAGGTCCAGACCTGCTCTTTCCTCCTTTCATGGTGTCTGACTGGCCTGTATAGCACTGAAGTTGTGGGAGAGCAGGTTCCTGTGTTTCATGAAGCTTGTATCCTTTCTTCTCAGAGACCATGTGAAAGCAATGGAGGAAAGAAAACTACTTCATAGTTTCCTGGCTAAGTCACAAAAAGGACTGCCTCCTAGGACCATGAAAGACAGTTACATTGAAGTTCTCTTGCCTTTGGGCAGTCAGCCTGAATTACGAGAGAAATATTTGACTGTTCAAAACACCGTAAGGTAACACAGCACTATTTTCGCTTGTGCCATTTGTTTTTATTTTATTTCCTTTCTTTGTTATAACTTTGAGATCTGTTCACTTATTTAAAATGTGTGATTCTCTGTTTTTTAATTTATTCAGAGAATTGTACAACCATCACCATAATAAATTTTAGTAGATACTTATCACCCCATGATGTGTTATTTTTTTTAAAGGGTGATCATCATGATTTTCATTTCATCACAGTTTTCTTTATTTCACAGGTTTGGCAGGATTCTTGAGGATCTTGACAGCCTAGGAGGTACTGATATTTTAATATTTTTGAATAGGGACTTACATCAATACATTGATGCCTCTGGCTGGAAAAGGTCTTTTTATTCTTTAACTTGCACTGATATAAAAGAGCAGAAAAAGAATGGCATCTGCTAATTCTGAATTGTCATAATTATTTAATTAAATTTACCAAAAAGTGGCAGAGTACAAGGAGTTGTTCTTCTCTGAATCATGTGAGAGTATGTTGATGACACGATGCACATCACCCCCAAATATTTTCACATGTGTTTCCTACAAACAAGGACATTCTCCTTCATAGCTATAAGATAACCCTCAAAATCAAGAAATTAACACTGGCATTTAGACAGTCTAATCCTCAGACCCCATTCAACTTTGGCCAGAGGTCCTTTATAGCAGGAGGATCCACTTCTGAATCACGTGTTGCGTTTAGTTGTTGTGTCACAGATAGTTCGTCAGTCTTTCCCTGACTTTCATGACCTTGATACTCTTGAAGGTTATGCGCCAGTTCTTTTGTGGAATTTCTTTTAATTTGGTTTTGTTTGATGCTTCCCCAAGATTAGATTTGGGACATGCATCTTTGACTGGAGTGACACAGAAGGGATGCTGAGTTTCTGTTGCATCTTAGCAGGTAGTGCATAATTCTAATTTGTCCTGTTCCTGTGATGTTATCTTTGATTCCTTGGTGAAGGTGGCATCTGCCAGGTTTCTTTGCTGTAAAGTTACTCTTTTCCCCTTTTTAATTAATAAGTACCTTGTTGGGACTTGTGAAAATCCCATTCCTCATCAGACTTTTATCAATTATTTTAAACTCAGTAGGGACTCAGGGATTCCTATGTTATTGAATGGATTAGAATGTATTTCTATCATCTGTTTTGATGTTCAGATTGTCCCAGGACTGTTTCTGTCCCTTCATGCTGACTTCTGTGGGTTTTTTTGTTTTTGTTTTTTTCTTTCTTGGATGTGTCCCCATCATTCTCTGAGCACTTCCTCACTTTTTGGCACAAGATCTTCTAGGCTCATTTCTACTTTTTGTGCTCCAGTCCTGGAATCAGCCAAATCTCTGAGGAGCCCTGGATCTTTTCAGCGGAGAAATCAAGATCTGAGTCTAGAGTGGTCATTGGTGCTGGGGTATCGCTATTCCAATGCTCTTTTAGTATCTGAGCTGGGGAATATATGCACATACATGTTCACTTACATTTATACCTGCCTGCCAATCTCTTTCCCTCTTTCCATCTGCCTGTATCTCTGTTTGTCTGTCTGTTGGATCCCTGGGTTCATACTGATAACCCAATTCTAATCTAGCCACAGGTTCATTCTTTATTCCTCCCTTTTCACATTTGTGATTCCCTTCTCCAGCTGGCTCCATTATCCAGAATATAGTTACTTATTTGATCAGTTCCCCTGTATGTAGCCAGTTTCATATGACTGCTGCCTCAAAATCCTCATGGACGCTCCCCTCACCTCGCCGGGGTGCTGCTCTGTACCAGGTCACCCTCTGCAGGTCACCCTCCTCCTTGTGCTCGGGCTGTAGCATGGTGCGCCATGGCTCTCGTTTCCTCACTGCGTGTCCTCCTGACCCCACTTGGGCTTCAGCACTCGATTTGGGGCCTTTGAACTGAACTGTTGGGAAAGCATTTAAAAAAGGCTCTGTTAATCTTTAAAATAGAGACGTAAATCCATTGTTGGGCTTACACCTAGCTACGTTTTCTTGAAATTAATAAACTTGCTTAAAAATTCATGAGTTAGTTAATGTTAGTCGCTCAGTTGTGTCTGACTCTATGCGACACTGTGGACAGTAGCCCACCAGGCTCCTCTGTCCATGGAATTCTCTAGGCAAGAATACTGGAGTGGGTTGCCATTTCCTTCTCCAGGGGATCTTCTGGACCCAGGAATCAAACCGTGTCTCCTCTGTCTCCTGCATTGTAGGCGAGTTCTTTACCACTAGTACCGCCTGGGAAGCCCTAAAATTTCTTACTGGCTCTTAAAAAAAGATCTCTCTCTCTCTCTCTCACACACACACACACATACTCACTCGACTCTGGTTTACTTTAGTTCAGTTCAGTCGCTCAGTCGTGTCTGACTCTTTGCAACCCCGTGAATCACAGCACGCCAGGCCTCCCTGTCCATCACCAACTCCCGGAGTTTACTCAAACTGCCCATCGAGTCGGTGATGCCATCCAGCCATCTCATCCTCTGTCGTCCCCTTCTCCTCCTGCCCCCAATCCCTCCCAGCATCAGGGTCTTTTCCAATGAGTCAACTCTGAGCATGAGGTGGCCACAGTATTGGAGTTTCAACTTCAGTATCAGTCCTTCCAGTGAACACTCAGGACTGATCTCCTTTAGGATGGACTGGTTGGTTTACTTAGGTGTCCCTAAATAGATGGACTTCCCTGGTAGCTCAGATGATGAAGACTCTGCCTGCAATGCCTGCCAGTGAAGGAGACAGCGGTTTGATACCTGGGTTGGGAAGATCCCCTGGAGAAGGGAATGGCTACCCACTCCAGTATTCTTGCCTGAAGAATTCCATGGACAGAGGAATCTGGTGGGCTACAGTCCAGGGGGTCACAAAGAGTTGGACATGACTGAGTGACTAACACTTAGCTTAAATACACAAACTCCCCTACCACTATTCTGTTTTTCTTCATCACCTCATGTAGATGGCTAGTCCCTTTTACTAGCTCATTTGATACTATTCCATCCCTTTCTTCAAGAAACCCGACTTTTATCACATACACTTTCTCCCTCGTATCTCAAGCCTTTGCTCAATTTCACTTTTCCCTCAGTTTCTAAACGTTCAAGGCTCTTGAGTCTTACAATGAAAAATAGGTAAAATCCCCTTCCCTTATAGCACTCTCCAGTTTTCTTTCCCTCTCACTTGAGAGCTAACTTTGTGTTCTGGCTTCTGCTCCTCTATGTCATTGAGCTGAACATGCCAAACAGTCTGTTGCTGCCTTACTGCGTGATCTCACAGGTGCTTCTCGGCATACATGACCCTTTGCAGCTCCTGACGATGTCAAACTCACCTGTGGGCGTTGGCGATATTTCCTCCCACCTCTCAGGCTGCTACTTCCCAGTCTCCTTTGTAGCTTCCTCTTTCTGTGTTGATCCTTTAAATGTTGCTGATCTCCAGGGTGTTGTCTTCTGCCCCTTTTTGTTGTTGATAGATGCACTTTCTCTATAAATCTTGAATCCCAGTGCTTCAGTTGTTCTCAGTATTGTTGAATTGTGTAGTGTTCGACCCCATGGATACCAGGCTTCCCTGTCCTTCACCATTTCCCGGAGTTTGCTCAAACTCATGTCCATTGAGTCAGTGATACCATCCAACCATCTCATCCTCTGTCATCCCCTTCTCCTCCTATATTAGCTATATTTATTTCATTAAAATGTACTTAAATAAAAACCAGTATAAAGAGGCACAAACATGAGAACAGGAAAAATTCACCATGAAAATATAAAAATTCCAAACCTGCTTGCACCTAGTAATAGTCTTAGTTCAAAATGGATTGCTAAATTTGACTGCTTTAAATTGAAAAACTCCCATATGACTAAAGACACTATTAACAACAACAAAAACCCTAGCATGTGTCTGCAAGAAAAAGTAACCAAAAAGAAGAATGAAGAAAGTAATAAACTATATAAAAGGGTTACTACAAATGAATAAGGAAAAGATAACGAAGCCAATAAAAAATGGGGGCTTCCTGGTGGCTCAGTGATAAGGAATCCACCTGCCAATGCAGGGGACACAGGTTCAATCCCTGGTCTGGGAAGATCCCACATCCCACAGAGCAACTAAGCCCGTGCACCACAACTTCTGAGCCCACGTGCCACAATGACTGAAGCCCACTCGCCTGGAGCCTGTGCTCTGTCGTCCTCTTCTCCTTCCGCCTTCAATCTTTCCCAGCATCGGGGTCTCTTTGTATCTGGTAGCCAAAGTATTGGAGCTTCAGTATCAGTCCTCCCAATGAATATTCAGGGTTTATTTCCTTTAGGATTGACTGGTTTGATCTTTTTGCTGTCCAAGGGACTCTCAAGAGTCTTCTCCAACACCATGGTTCAAAAGCATCAATTCTAGTGTGGGAGCTACATAAGGAACATTTCCTGGCCTGCCCTTGTGAGTTGCAGACCAGTTTGTCCTCCTGCCTTTTGGCCGTCTTCATTTGGATCTGCCATGGACTTCCTGAATTCAGTGTGTTGAAAATAGTCCACTCTGCTCTTCCTGTGTATATCCTTTTTCTCAGTGAATGGTACATCATCTTCACTCATGCAAGTTAGATACCCGAGTTAATTCAAGTCTTGTCAAACCTGCCTTCTTCTTAGCTCTTGGATCTTTTCTCTTGTCTTCATTTCCACTAATGTGCCATAGGCCAGACACTTACAGTTTCCTTTCTGGGTACCATAAAGGTTTGTAAATGGAGTTTCTTGCCTTTCGCTCCTCATCCCCCTCCTAGTACATCCTTTAGCAGGTGCACGGATGGAAGAGTTTATTGTTACTCAACAGATACTGAGCACAGACCCTGTCCTAAGGGTTGATGATACAAATTTGAATGAATCATAGGGTAGGCAGGGATGCTATTGAAGAAGTACACTACAATTTTAAATGAGTTGATATTTGTAAGGTACATCGAGTCATGCTTGGCACCTGTACATACTTGTTAAAATATGGGAAGTACACAGATCACCACGGGGTAGTGTAGGAGCCGAGGGTATTATGGGGAAGGAGGGAGAGCTCTAAGCCAAATAATAGCTTCATGATTCTGGAAGAGTCAAGAGGAAAACAGGTAGGTGGGTCCTTGTCTTTTATTTCTCTTTTTTGAAGAAGTTTGGTGTTTTCAAACTTGTGTGTTGGGGTCTTTTTCTGACTTAGGCACCATACCTCGGTTGAGTGATGATAAGCCACCTGGTAGACCTGGGCTTTGGGCTTCAGTTTCCTCATCAGAGCCAAAATTCAACGGACAGATTAGAGGATTTCTAGATGTCATTAATGTGTCAAAATCTTTGGTTCTAGGATATGACCAGTAGTGGGATATGGGGATTTGGGTCTTCAAAACCAGATAAGACTGTTTATGAATTTCAAGGAGTGAATTGTGAACATTAAAAAGTAATTTTGCTTTTTCCTTTATTTGTTTCTCTTCTCTTTTCCTACAGTTCTTATTTGCTACATGCACAACAAAATTCATTCAGCTAAGATGTCTCCTTTATCAATAGTTACAGCCCTTGTGGACAAGATTGGTAAGTGATAGTATTTTCTTGACATACTTAGAATTTTTAGTAATTATGAAATATTGATATTTGAGGAAATATTTTCCTTTTATGGAGGAATTTTTATGTATATATGTATATGCATATGAAAATGTCAGCTATGTACCAACATGTTTTTTATAATTATCTTCGAGTGGAAGGGTTTTGCATGATTCTGTTTTCACTTTTTATATTCTTTGCATTGCCTTATTTTTCAGAAAGACATACACATGTCTTCAGTATGTCAAAAAGGAATCATATTTTTAGTTTTCAAGACAAAAAAGAAATATAATGGAATTTACAAAAATTTCAAGTAAAATATGTCCATTTGTAGTACAGAAAAGTTGGAGTATGGCTTGTGCTCAGATTGATTTTCTGTTTTGTAGATATGTGTAAGAAGAGTTTGAGCCCAGAACAGGACATCAAGTTCAGTGGTCATGTTAGTTGGGTTGGGAAGACATCCATGGAAGTGAAGATGCATATGTTCCAGGTGTGTCTGTGCCCAAAGTCTGCCCCTTTTTCTAATACAGCCAGCTAGCCTCAGTGAAAGAAAAGCTTACTTACCTGTCTATCCATAGACAGGTGTATGCTTTTATAAGTTTTCCACTTATAGAAGAGCAATTCAAGTTCACTTCAAACAGATGGTGTATTAGTATCCTCCTGAACAAAGACTGACAGATTATTTGGTGTTTATGCTTAGTGTTTATTATTTTCAAATCATACATGGCTCCATGTTAAGGTATTCGTTTCTGGTTTTACCCCGAGAATTTCACAACAGTCTGAGTTCTGTTAAACATAAATGGAATTGGTCACTGTTAGTTTCTTAGGGCTGCTGTAGCAAAGTACCATGAACCAGATGGCTTAAAACAACAGAAATTAATTGTTGTACAATTGCAAGGCTAGAAATCCCAAATTAAGGTCTCAGCAGGACCATGCTCCCTCTAAAACCTGTGTAGGAGAGGCCTTCTTTGCTTCTTTCTAGCTTCTAGTGGTTTGCTGGCTTTTTGGCATTCCTTGGCTTGTAACACTCATTGTCTTCCTTCTTCATTACATATCACTTTCCTCTTGGGTTTCTATGTCTCTTCTATTCTTACAAGGGCATCAATAATACTGGATTAAGGGCCCACCTACTCCAGTGTGACTTCATCTTACCTGATTATATCTGCAACAACCCTATGTCTAAATATAGTCACCTTCACCTGTACTGAGGGTTAGGACATCAACATATCTTGTTGGGGGACACAGTTCAACCCATAACAGTCACTTAGATTACTGTAGCATCTAGGAACAGATGAGCACAAGTCAGAACAGCTATTATAAGGTAATGAAGAAGGACTTCATTGGTGGCCTAGTGGCTAAGACTCTGTGCTCCTCATGTAGGGAGCCCAGGTTTAGTCCCTTGTTAGGGGACTAGATCCTACATGCTGTAACTAAGAGTTTGAATGCTGCTAAGACTCGGCACAGCCTAATAAATTAATAAATATTTTTTTAAAAAGAGATGAAGAAATTTGTCAAGAAAAAGTACCTTGAAGATAATAGTATAGAAATCAAATAATTCAGAATATGTTCAAGATTTCATTGTGAAAACTTATCTAAGAACAACTTAGTTATATCAGGGTATTAGATGGATCTATCATTCAGATACATTTTTCTTTTCTGTTATGAAATTATGAAGCATTTCACCTTTTGGAAAAAGTCTGAAGGTTGCTCTGCAGTAATTAAAATTATTTTGTCAAAATCAGTTCAGTTCAGTTGCTCAGTTGTGTCCGACTGTTTGCAACCCCATGGATTGCAGAACTGCAGGCTTCTTTGTCTATCACCAACTCCCAAAGCTTACTCAAACTCATGTCCATCTAGTCGGTGATGCCATCCAGCCATCTCATCCTCTGTCGTTCCCTTCTCCTCCCACCTTCAATCTTTCCCAGCATCAGGGTTTTTTTCTAGTCTCAGTTCTTTGCATCAGATGGCCAAAGTATTGGAGTTTCAGCTTCAGCATCAGTCCTTCCAATGAATATTCAGGACTGATTTCTTTTAGAATTGACTGGTTGGATCTCCTTGCATTCCAGTAGACTCTCAAGAATCTTCTCCAACACCACAGTTCAAAAGCATCAATTCCGTGGTGCTCAGCTTTCTTTATAGTCCAACTCTCACATCCGTACATGACTACAGGAAAAACCATAGCTTTGACTAGACGGACCTTTGTTGGTAAAGTAATGTCTCTACTTTTTAATATGCTGTCTAGATTGGTCATAGCTTTTCTTCCAAGGAGCAAGCGTCTTTTAATATCATGGCTGCAGTCACCATCTGCAGTGATTTTGGAGCCCAAGAAGATAAAGTCTGTTAGTGTTTTCATTGTTTCCCCATCTATTTACCGTGAAGTGATGGGACCCAGATGCCATGATCTTAGTTTTCTGAATGTTGAGCTTTAAGCCAGCTTTTTCACTCTCCTCTTTCACTTTCATCAAGAGGCTCTTTAGTTCTTCGCTTTCTGCCATAAGGGTAGTGTTGTGTGCATATCTGAGGTTATTGATATTTCTCCCAGCAATCTTGATTCCAGCTTGTGCTTCTTCCAGCCCAGCATTTCACATGGTGTACTCTGCATTTAAGTTAAATAAACAAAATAGGTACTTTTAAAATTTGATACTATATGTTAACAGTTGAATTTTTTTAAACTCCCTTGTTGCTGCTTTTAAATAATAATAATAATACTGCTTTTAAAACCAAACATGAAGTTGTTGGGGATAGTGCTATGATTTGTTCACTTCCTTTCTTAGTCCTAATGGTTGACTCACAGTGGATTCCTGGCATAAGACCTGCTTTCTAGGAAATCTTGGACAAATAGATTGAAAAAGAGATAAAGGAATTATTAGGAAGAGAGCCAGTGAAAAATCAGTGTCAGAAATACACTTTTGTTTTAAATTTGCATTTCTCATTGGCCATTTTGATGAATAACTCATGGCTTAAGTGATCTTTTATTCCAGAGAGAGAGCTTGGCAATAGATACCCTGCCTTTGGTTTGGCTAAAATGTAGGTTCAGATCCCAGCTCTGGGACTTCCCTGGCAGTTCAGTGGCTAAGACTCCACACTTCAACTGCAAGGGGCACAGGTTTGATCCCTGGTCGGGGGACTAGGATCCCACATGCCACATGGTGTGGGCAAAAAAAAAAACATCCTAACTCTGCTGTTTGTTAGCCATGTGACTGTGGGCAGATTTCTCGCCCTCTCTGAGATGCTGTTTTGTTAACCACAGTAGCCACTAATCAAATGTTGCCAATTATGTTAATTTATCATCATTGCTATGAAGATGGTTCCAGATCTCTTCTAGGTTTGACTTTCACACCTGCCTTTTGGGGTTCCCATAGATCTCTCTCCCATGTGTACTCTTGCTGTCTCCCAAGTCCAGTGTGTTCCAGACTATGTCAGCTTCCTTTCCAATCCTGATTCTCCTTCGCTTTCCCCTTTCCCACCCTCCTGTTTCTCCCAGCTCCAAACCTTTATGAAAGCTTTAATTTTTCCCTGTCCCATGCAGCCTTTTGCCAAGTCTTACAGATTCATCATCCACTGTTTCTCACCAGAGTCCTCGCTTCCCCTTCCCCCTGACCTTTGAGTTTTCATTCAAGCCCTCACTGCCTCTTGTGTGAGCATCTTAGCTGTCTTTTAATTATTCTGCCTGCCTTTAGTTTCTTCTGTCTTAATTTTACACATATCTACCGGATAGATCTTCCACAGCTGATCTCAGTCATATCACTTCCCTTCTCAGAGCCCTTCAATGGCCATTATCTGTGGTTCAAAGTCTAAATTCCTTTGACTAGTTAGGATTTAAAGTGTTAGTCGCTCAGTTGTGTCTGACTTTTTGTGACCCCTACAGACTGCAGCCCACCAGGCTCCTCTGTCCATGAAATTCTCCAGGCAAGAATGCTGGAGTGGGTTGCCATTTCCTTCTCCAGGGGATCTTCCTGACCCAGGGATCAACCCTGATGGGTCTCCTGCAGGCTGATTCTTTACCATCTGAGACACCAGTTAGGATCTAAGATGCTCCATAAATAGCACCAACCTACCTGGTGGCTGGTTCACACGCCTTCTTAGAGCACACCACTGGAGACCTTGAGCGTCCTGAGAGTAGAGTTGTTTGTTTTGCATCCACAATGCTTAGCACTAGTGCACATTAATTATAATAAACTGGAACATTACATATTAGGTGAGTGGATGAGTATCCTGGTGTACATTTTCCTTTTGCTGGAATTTCTTGGGCAGTGGCTCCCCGTATCCCCATTCCACCTGTGCTTCCAGGTTACTTCATACTCCAATCTGTCCCTGATCCTTTCAGCTCATAGTACCTGTTCCTTCCCCATGTCCCTCTCTTCTGGCTCCTGCTATCGTCTGCTCTACAGAGCTCTGTATGCACGTGTTTTTTCTGTTTGACTGTGCGCATCCCCAAGGAGATCTGGGAGTGAGTCATCTAGCCCACTTCCTGATGGCCAACATTTAACATTGACTTTGCAGTGATTTATGGGGTGTGCCATCTGTGCTCAGTATACAGCAGTGAGCAAAACAGAAAGTTCCAGTCTTTTGGAGTTCACACTCTAGTAGAGCTCAACAGTTAGCTGCCTCAGTTCATTCATTGACAATCATTGATCGGGTATCTGCTGTCTGCCAGTCTTTGTGCCAGTTGCTGGGATACAAATGTGAATAAAAATGGTCTTTGTCCTCAAGGAGCTTTGGGTACAGTAGGAAGACAGACACATAAGTAAATCTTTATGGTATATTCAATTAAGTGGGCTTCCCTGATAGCTCAGTGGTAAAGAATCCACCTGCAGTGCAGGAGACACGGGAGACGTGGGTTCGATCCCTGGGTCGGGAAGATCCCCTGGAGGAGGAAACGGCAGATCCATTCCAGTGTTCTTGCCTGAGAAATCCCACAGATAGAGGAGCCTGGTGAGGTATAGTTCAAAGGGTCACAAAGATTGGACACGACTGAGCGACTAAGCACAAATTAAGTACTGTGCACTATTTCTCAACAGGGACACTGTTAGGATTGTACGTGGGAGCATTCTTTGTTCTGCAGGACCTTCCCCTGCGTTGTGAAGTGTTACCTGCACTACGCTGGTAATGTCCCTCAGCTCATATGGCAACCATCACCAGCCCTGCACATTTCTAGATGCTCCTAGGGGGTGATATCTTCCTAGCTTATGTTGAGAGCCACTGTCAGAAGAGGCCTTTGTTTCCACTTAGGTGGCAAAAAAAGGGAGGGAATGATCAACTGACTGGGGAGTAGGGCTGGAACTGGGGATGGGGAGGAGTATCTTGAGGAATGCCACCCTGAGGAAGGCATCAGGCAAAGATGTGGAGGGGAGGTGCTCAGGTGACAAAATGGGACATTCTAGGACCTCCAAGTTGTTAGCTGTGGCTAGAGAAAAAGGTGCAGGCATGAGGGGAACGTTTGATGAACAACTGGAGAGAAATCTGGGCTCTGTGGCAGAGGCTTTCCAGCAGGCTTAGAACAGATGCTGGGAGAAAGGAGGAACTCTTTGGTTTGAACAGGACAGGGACATAGTGAGATGCGGGAGACTCTTCCCAAAATTGCAGGGGAGGGCTCATAAGGGGTTGAATGGATGTTGGTCATGAGGACTAGTGATGAGGTTTGTTGAGGATGGAACCATCTGTACCCAAGGTTACGATAGGACTTGAGGATATAACTTTCCTGGAAGTACAGACTCCTAGGGGGTAAAAAAATACCTTAAAATCTCGATGGACTCTGCATTGTACATATTTAGCTTAATCCACAGAATTGTCACTCATCTTGTCCCTTCTTGGAAGCCCCTGTGCTGGGCTAAGGAAATAGGCACATCCTAGTAGTTGGTACACTCAAGTTTCCAGAAAATTTGAATGTCTGGGTGAGCGATGGCAGGTCTGCCTGGCTGTGTGTGCCTTTGGGAGGACAGGTAGGCCTGAAGAAAGCCAGTCTTCTGCAAGATGGTTGCACCTAAGTGATGGTGATGCATAAGGTCCCTCTGCGACCCTTGCCCTGGGTCCTGGTCAGGCAGCTCCAAGGCCCACATAGTTCGTGCCCGTCCCAGCCCTTCTCACTCTTTGCACTGTCTGGGTTTTGGAGGTGTCTCCATTCTCTGCTAGACCACAGATTCCGTGATCTTGCTGCCACTCCCCGCCACCTGCCAGAGCCTAGTCATGTTTCTGGCATCTCAGCAGATGGCGATTAATGAATGCACTTGTCCTCTTTCGCTAATTTCAGCCTTTCTTGAAGGCTCTGGTATCTGGTAAGATTGTACTGGGTCTTCCCACTAAATGCATTTCTTACATCTGCATTTTCTTTTCTTTGTTCTCTAGTTACATGACGATGAATTTTCTCCTGTTTTGGATGCGACATTTGTAATGGTGGCTCGTGATTCTGAAAATAAAGGGTAATTGCTGTTTTTTTCCCTATTTCTTTCTTCTTTTTTCCTGTCCTTTGAAAAATATAAAATATATATATTTTCAAATATCTGGAGATATCTGAAAACCAGAGAGAAAACTTTAATAAATTTCCAGATTTATTAGATTTAATTAATAAAATCTCTAGATTTATTCTAGATCTGGTAAATTTCACTCAGTTTTGTCCGACTCTTTGCAACCCCACGGACTGTAGCCTGCTAGGCTCTTCTGTCCATGTGATTCTCCAGGCAAGAATACTGGAGTGGATTGCCATTCCCTTCTCCAGAGGATCTTCTGGACCTAGGGATTGAACACGGGGCCCCTGTATTGCAGGAAGTGTCTTTACCGTCTGAGCTACAGGGAAGTCTTTAAATATATTTTTCAAATATCTGGAGATATGTGAAAATTGGAGAGAAGACTTTAATAAATTTCTAGATACCATCACCTAGACTTAAGAGTTTTGACATTTTGCCATATTTGCTTCTTTTTTAAAGGTATATTATTTTCTTTATCATATTTTAAAGCAATTTCAGATATAATGACATTTCACCTCTGAATACCTTAGTGTAGGCATTGCTTTAAAAATGAGGATATTTTCTTAAATAACTACATTACCACTAGCACACCTAACAAATAATAGTAAGTACTTAATGTATTCTAATAGTTCATATTCACTTTTCCCCGATTACCTTTTTAATGATTTATATAAATCAGGAGCCAAACAAGGTCCACTTACTGCATTTAATTTTTATGTCTCTTATGTCTGCTGCTTTTGTTCGCAGCTTTATTGAGATATGATTCACATATCATACAATTCAATGATTAAAAGTGTACAGTTTAATGACTTTTAGTATATTCATAAAATTGTGGAATCTCTTCAGCCTGTGTTAATCTGGAATGGTTGTGTGCACCCACCTGTCCTTTACCCCTTCTCATGAAGTGGGCAAAAGCCCAGATTCATTGTTCTATACAGTGTCTCACTTTCTGGATTTGTCTCATTGCTTCTTCATGGTATTTTTTTTTAACTTGTTTCACTATCCCTTGTATTTTCTGTAAATTGAAGTTAGATCTAAAAGCTTAGTTAGATTTGAATTAAGTGTATTTGGTGAGAGCACTTCCTAGGTGATACTGTCTCTGTACTGTATCATGTCAGATTTTCCCACTCATTGTAAAGGTAAGATTAGTGTGTGGGTTCAAGTAGCAACAGACTGATCTTTCCATTATGCACTTCAGTTTATCCTCTTATGATCAACAATGATCCGCAGGTGTAGTACAGTACAAGGTGTCTCCCATGTACATCTTACAAATAGCTAGTTTCCCATCAGTCTTCCTTCAGTGCTTTTAATCTCCTTTGGAGTTTAATCATTTTCATTAGAGGATATAAAATGATTCTCCAATTCTGACATTCTTTCTGTATTTGTTAGCCAGAGATCTGTAAAGAAGACTTTTCCTTTACCAGCTAGGGCAGTTTGGTTTGTCAAGGAAAGTCAGGATCAATGTTTCATTCTTTCCTTTATTTACACATTTACTAGCTAATGATGACAGTTTTTCTGCTTTTTTTTTGATTTTTAAGAAAGTATCACTGTGAGTTCATGGATTTTAATATAGTAAATATGTTTTAGTAAATTGCAGCCATTGTTCTTCCTGTTCCTCTGAATGAACATCTTTGGTCAGTGGGAACTCCTTTAAGCTGCCTCCTGTGATGAGCTATTTTTACATTTCCTAGTCTTTGATACAGAGAAGGCAATGGCACCCCACTCCAGTACTCTTGGCCTGGAAAATCCCATGGATGGAGGAGCCTGGTAGGCTGCAGTCCATGGGGTCACGAAGAGTCGGACTCGACTGAGTGACTTCACTTTCACTTTTATGCATTGGAGAAGGAAATGGCAACCCACTCCAGTGTTCTTGCCTGGAGAATCCCAGGGATGGGGTCGCACAGAGTCGGAAATGACTGAAGTGACTTAGCAGCAGCAGCAGCAGCAGCAGTCTTTGATAACTTTCTGCTCTCTGGTACAATGAGATATCTTGAACTTATCCTATACATTTCCTGACCCAGGCCTGGTATCAGCTGTTTCTCCAAGGAGTCCTCAGGTTCCTTTTAATGAGAAACTGGTAGCTAGACACCAAAATCTGGGCACTAGAACTATATGTTTTTATTAGTTTGTCATTGTTTCTAGGCTTTTTCAGTGGACAGAGCTTGAATGTATGTTAAAAAGAAAACAAAAAAACCTCATAAATTTATACTGTCATTTCCAAGTCAAGTTTAGCTATACATACTTTAAAGCTTTATGCCTTATCTTTTCTTTCTTACATTGAATCCTTAGTTCCTAATGCCAGTTACACCCAAGGCATTCAAACTGGGAAAAACTATGTGTGTGGGAGTGGGGTAGGAGGGAATGTTATAGGATTGCTGTTGTACAGGATGGAGTCTGGAGGCCTATGAGAAGCCTGATTTGTTTCAGAAATTTGAGTTAGGAGTCTTCAGTGAGAAATCTCTTTTGCTGCGTGAAAAACTGACTTGGAGACCCAAGTTAAGAGCAAAAAATCCGTTGGTGACTCATCTGAGTGAAGTATCCACCTGTCTTCTCTGTCTCCTCCAGCCACTTCCAGCTGACATGCTGCTCCTAGTGGCTGACCTGGGGCTTCTTTTCCAGCACTGAAGGCATTACTTAAAGTTTCTCACCCAGCTGATGCATTCTAATTTTCCAAGCTGCTGTCTCAGTACTTTTGTTTCCATTTTTGTTTCGTCCAACTTTTGGATTCTACCATAGTGAAGGATTATCCTTTTTCTCCGTGTTTTAATTTGAAAAATTTGACACCTACAGGAATGTAGAAAGAATAATGTAATGAGCACCCATATACCCTTCACCTAAATTCTCAAATTAACATTTTACCACTTTTACCTTACTCTTGCCCTTTCTCAGTAAATACAGATATACACACTTTTCCTCATGTGATTGTTTCAGAGTAAAGTTGAGACTACTTTACCCATAAATAATTCAACATGTATCTCCTAAGAATAAGGCGATTCTCCTATATAACGTCAGCAACTTTATTATATCCAAGAAATTTAACAGTTATACAATTATTGTTTCTAATATTTGATCCATATTCAAACCATGCCAGTTGTCCCTAAAATATTCTTTATAACCTTTTCTCTTGAGTCAGGGTCTGATTAAGGGCCATGTATTATATGTTGTTGGGGCTTCCCTGATGGTTCAGATGGTAAAGAATCTGTCTTCAATGTGGGAGACCTGGGTTTGATCCCTGGGTTGGAAAGAGCCCCTGGAGTAGGGTATGGCAACCCAAGCTGGTATTCATGCCTGGAGAATCCCCATGGACAGAGGGGCCTGGTGGGCTACAGTCCATGGGGTCACAAAGAGTCAGACACAACTGAGTGACTAAGCACATATTATATGTTATTATCATGTTTCTTTAAATAATTCCCCTTAAAACAATCCCTCTGGCACTTTCTGTTTTTTAAGACATTGACTTTTTAAAATTTTTTACTGAAGTATAGTTGATGTATAATACTGTGTTAGTTTCAGGTATACAGCAAAGTGATTCAGTTATGTATCTCTCTCTATATATAGATACACTTTTCCAGATTCTTTTCCCATATAATTATTATAAAATATTGACTATAATTCCTTGTATTGTATACTAAGTCCTTGCTGTTTATCTATTTTACATATAGTGACGTGTGTATGTAAATCCAAAACTCCCAATTTATCTCCCCCCTTTCCCCTTTGGTAACCATAAGTTTGTGTTCTGTTTGTGAGTCTATTTCTGTTTTGTAAGTGAGTTTATTTGTATCATTTTCTTAGATTCCACACACAAGGGATATCATATACTTGTCTTTGGCTTATTTCACTTAGTATGATAATCTCTAGGTCTCTCCATGTTGCTTCAGATGGCATTATTTCATTCTTTTTTATGGCTAAATAATATTTCATCCTATTGTTTTCCTCTATTTCTTTGCACATTGTCTTTATCCATTCCTCTGTTGATGGATACTTAGGTTGCTTCCATGTCTTGGTTATTGTAAATAGTGCTGCAGTGAACATTGGGGTGAATGTATCTTTTTGAATTATGGTTTTCTTTAGGTATATGCCCAGGAGTGGGATCATTGGATCATATGGTAGCTCTGTTTTTAGTTTTTAAAGGAACCTCCATACTGTTTTCCATAGTGGTTGCACCAGTTTACATTCCTGCCAACAGTGTAGGAGGATTCCCTTTTCTCCACACCCTTTCCAGCATTTACTATTTGTATACTTTTTGATGATGCCCATTCTGACCCGGGTGAGGTGATGACCTCATTGTAGTTTTGATTTGCATTTCTTTAATAATTAGCAATGTTGAGCATCTTTTCTTGTGCCTTTTGGCCATCTGTGTGTCTTCTTTGGAGAAATGTTTATTTATATCTTCTGCCCGTGTTTTGTTTGATTGTTTGTTTTGATATTGAGCTGTATGAGCTGTTTGTATATTTTGGAGATTAATCCTTTGTCAGTTGTATCATTTGCAAATATTTTCTCCCAGTATGTAGGTTGTCTTTTCATTTTGTTTATGGCTTCCTTTGCTGTGTGAAAGCTTTTAAATTTGATTCCATTCAGTTCAGTTCAGTTCAGTCGCTCAGTCGTGTCCGACTCTTTGCGACCCCATGAACCGCAGCGTGTCAGACCTCCCTGTCCATCACCAACTCCCGGAGTTTACTCAGACTCATGTCCATTGAGTCGGTGATGCCATCTAACCATGTCATTCTCTGTCTCCTCCTGCCTTCAGTCTTTCCCCAAATCAGGGTCTTTTCAAATGAGTCAGCTTTTCACATCAGCTGGTCAAAGTATTGGAGTTTCAGCTTCAACATCAGTCCTTCCAATGAACACCCAGGACTGATTTCCTTTAGGATGGACTGATTGAATCTCTTTGCAGGCCAAGGGACTCTCAAGAGTCTTCTCTACACCACCGTTCAAAAGCATCAATTCTTTTGCACTCAGCTTTCTTTATAGTCCAACTCTCACATCTGTACATGGCTACTGGAAAAACCATAGCCTTGACTAGACGGACCTTTGTTGACAAAGTAACGTCTCTGCTTTTTAATATGCTGTCTAGGTTGGTCATAACTTTACAAGGAGTAAGTGTCTGTTAATTTCATGGCTGCAGTCACCATCTGCAGTGATTTTGGAGCCCCCCAAAATAAAGTCAGCCACTGTTTCCACTGTTTTCCCATCTATTTGCCATGAAGTGATGGGAGCAGACACCATGATCTTAGTTTTCTGAATGTTGAGCTTTAAGCCAACTGTTTCACTCTCCTCCTTCACTTTCATCAAGAGGCTCTTTAGTTCTTCTTCACTTTCTGCCATAAGGGTGGTTGGGTCCCATTTGTTTCTTTTTTGTTTGTTTTTATTTCCACTACTCTAGGAGACAGATCCAAAAAGATATTGCTGCTATTTATGTCAAAGAATATCTTACCTATATTTTCCTCTAGGAATTCTTTAGTACTTTGCCTTACATTTAGGTCTTTAATCCATTTTGAGTTTATTTTTATGTATGATATTAGAGAGTGTTCTAATTTCATTTTTTAACATGTAGCTGTCCAGTTTTCCCAGTACCACTTACTGAGGAGACTGTCTTTTCTCCATGAATGATATATTCTTGCCTCGTTTGTGGTAGATTAATTAACCATAAGTGTGTGGGTTTATTTCTGGGCTTTGTATACTGATCCATTGATCTATATGTCTGTTTTTGTGCCTGTACCATATGGTTTTGATTATTGCAGCTTTGTAGTATGGTGTGAAGTTGAGGAGCCTGATTCCTCCAGCTCTGTTTTTCTTTCTCAGAATTGCTATAGTTAGTCAGAGTCTTTTGTGTTTGCATACAAGTTTAAAATATTTTTGTTCTGATTCTGTGAAAAATGTCATGGTAATTTGATAGGGATTGAATTGAATATATTGATTGCCTTGAAAAAAACATTAACATTTTTGAAGAGTCCAGGCCAGTTGTCTTACAGAATTTTTGCAACCTGTTTTTGGCTATTTCCTCATAATTAGAGTCAGGTGAAACATTTTGACAAGTGGCCATATCCTTTTTTACAATGTGAACTGTCTAGTGTCCAGATAAGTCTGTCCAGAAGGCTCCCCTAACTGTTCCAGAGCTCTTATGTGAAGCTGTTAGTAGCATTACGTAAAATGAAAATCTTCAGTTTTTTTTTTAGGTAATGACATGTCTTAAAATTTTTTTCTTTTTTCTCTTTAGGCCAGCCTTTGTAAATCCACTCACTGTTGAAAGCCCAGAGGAAGAAGAGCTCTTTCGACAGGGAGAATGTATATTAATTTGCTCATAATAAGATATAATTTTAAAAACATATTAACTCTGTTGCAGAGGAAATTATTTAAGAGTATGTATGGACTCCTCACACCAGTCAAGTGTCCAAAGAGTCCATTCTTGGGACAGTTTTATTGATCATACAATATTAAGTAATTTGTTTTCTCACCTTTGATGAAATGCGAGTTGTCTCAATGAAATAACTGCTGGTTGGGGCTGTAGGTCAAGGTGATTATAAGTGATCTCACACTGAGTTGATATGAATTCCATCTGAAAGCAAAAAATCACTGGAAGTTTTATGTAGCTTCAGCAGCCTTCTCTGGGATAAATGTATAATTTCCAGTTGGCTTTTCCAAATCTGGAAATCCTGTGTTTATGGGGTTCTAGGCAGCCCTGGACAGGAAGCTTGTGCTGTAGTGTGGCCCTTCTGATCATAGCTCTTATTGTCCCCTGTTGCAGTGAACAAGGGGAGAAGGGTCGCCTTCAGCTCCACGTCATTACTGAAAATGGCCCCCACTGCCGAGGAGAGGACAACCATACATGAGATGTTTCTTAGCACGCTGGATCCAAAGTAAGTTAGGATGGTGAGATTCTGGGTTGGGAAAGTAGGCCTTCTTCAGAGCCACACTTGCTCGAACATATTGGGTGGTGTTTGTAAATATTTTACTTTTCTGCAGCAGAGCCATGGCATTGACAGGGTTTCCTCAATCTCCATTTGTACAGGACGATAAGTTTTCGAAGTCGAGTTTTGCCTCCTAATGCAGTGTGGATGGAGAATTCAAAACTCAAGAGCTTGGATATTTGCCACCCTCAGGTATTGGAACTTAGTGAAGAATCTTCTAAACAGGATAACTAGGACTCATGACAGTCATCTAAGATTTGATCTGCTTTTCAACTGTCCTCTGTTCTATGGCATTGTTAATTCCTTTTTTTTTTTTAATTTTTTTTTCACAACCATAGTGTATCTTTTTTTTTTTTTTTTAACATGTATTCCCCATCCCGGTCCCCCCTCCCACCTCCCTCTCCACCCAATCCCTCTGGGTCTTCCCAGTGCACCAGGCCCGAGCACTTGTCTCATGCACCCAACCTGGGCTGGTGAACTGTTTCACCCTAGATAATATACGTGTTTCGATGCTGTTCTCTTGAAACATCCCACCCTCGCCTTCTCCCAGAGTCCACAAGTCTGTTCTATACATAGGAGTCTCTTTTTCTGTTTTGCACATAGGGTTATCGTTACCATCTTTCTAAATTCCATATATATGTGTTAGTATACTGTAATGGTCTTTATCTGTCTGGCTTACTTCGCTCTGTATAATGGGCTCCAGTTTCATCCATCTCATTAGAACTGATTCAAATGAATTCTTTTTAATGGCTGAGTAATATTCCATGGTGTATATGTACCACAGCTTCCTCATCCATTCGTCTGCTGATGGGCATCTAGGTTGCTTCCATGTCCTGGCTATTATAAACAGTGCTGCATTGAACATTGGGGTGCACGTGTCTCTTTCAGATCTGGTTTCCTCGGTGTGTATGCCCAGAAGTGGGATTGCTGGGTCATATGGCAGTTCTATTTCCAGCTTTTTAAGAAATCTCCACACTGTTTTCCATAGTGGCTGTACTAATTTGCATTCCCACCAACAGTGTAAGAGGGTTCCCTTTTCTCCACACCCTCTCCAGCATTTATTGCTTGTAGACTTTTGGATAGCAGCCATCCTGACTGGTGTGTAATGGTACCTCATTGTGGTTTTGATTTGCATTTCTCTGATAATGAGTGATGTTGAGCATCTTTTCATGTGTTTGTTAGCCATCTGTATGTCTTCCTTGGAGAAATGTCTGTTCAGTTCTTTGGCCCATTTTTTGATTGGGTCATTTATTTTTCTGGAGTTGAGCTGGAGGAGTTGCTTGTATATTTTTGAGATTAATCCTTTGTCTGTTGCTTCGTTTGCTATTATTTTCTCCCATTCTGAGGGCTGTCTTTTCACCTTGCTTATAGTTTCCTTTGTTGTGCAAAAGCTTTTAAGTTTCATTAGGTCCCATTTGTTTATTTTTGCTTTTATTTCTAAAATTCTGGGATGTGGGTCATAGAGGATCCTGCTGTGATTTATGTCGGAGAGTGTTTTGCCTATGTTCTCCTCTAGGAGTTTTATAGTTTCTGGTCTTACATTTAGATCTTTAATCCATTTTGAGTTTATTTTTGTGTATGGTGTTAGAAAGTGTTCTAGTTTCATTCTTTTACAGGTGGTTGACCAGTTTTCCCAGCACCACTTGTTAAAGAGGTTGTCTTTTTTCCATTGTATATCCTTGCCTCCTTTGTCAAAGATAAGGTGACCATAGGTTCGTGGATTTATCTCTGGGCTTTCTATTCTGTTCCATTGATCTATATTTCTGTCTTTGTGCCAGTACCATACTGTCTTGGTGACTGTGGCTTTGTAGTATAGTCTGAAGTCAGGCAGATTGATTCCTCCAGTTCCATTCTTCTTTCTCAGGATTACTTTGGCTATTCGAGGTTTTTTGTATTTCCATACAAATTGTGAAATTATTCGTTCTAGTTCTGTGAAAAATACCGTTGGTAGTTTGATAGGGATTGCATTGAATCTGTAGATTGCTTTGGGTAGTATAGCCATTTTGACAATATTGATTCTTCCAATCCATGAACACGGTATATTTCTCCATCTGTTTGTGTCCTCTTTGATTTCTTTCATCAGTGTTTTATAGTTTTCTATGTATAGGTCTTTTGTTTCTTTAGGTAGATATACTCCTAAGTATTTTATTCTTTTTGTTGCAATGGTGAATGGTATTGTTTCCTTAATTTCTCTTTCTGTTTTCTCATTGTTAGTGTATAGGAATGCAAGAGATTTCTGTGTGTTAATTTTATATCCTGCAACTTTACTGTATTCGTTGATTATCTCTAGTAATTTTCTGGTAGAGTCTTTAGGATTTTCTATGTAGAGGATCATGTCATCTGCAAACAGCGAGAGTTTCACTTCTTCTTTTCCTATCTGGATTCCTTTTACTTCTTTTTCTGCTCTGATTGCTGTGGCCAACACTTCCAAAACTATGTTGAATAGTAGTGGTGAGAGTGGGCACCCTTGTCTTGTTCCTGATTTCAGGGGAAATGCTTTCAGTTTTTCACCATTGAGGGTGATGCTTGCTGTGGGTTTGTCATATATAGCTTTTATTATGTTGAGGTATGTTCCTTCTATTCCTGCTTTCTGGAGAGTTTTAATCATAAATGGATGTTGAATTTTATCAAAGGCTTTTTCTGCATCTATTGAGATAATCATATGGTTTTTATCTTTCAATTTGTTAATGTGGTGTATTACATTGATTGATTTGCGGATATTAAAGAACCCTTGCATTCCTGGGATAAAGCCCACTTGGTCATGATGTATGATTTTTTTAATATGTTGTTGGATTCTGTTTGCTAGAATTTTGTTAAGGATTTTTGCATCTATGTTCATCAGTGATATTGGCCTGTAGTTTTCTTTTTTTGTGGCATCTTTGTCTGGTTTTGGAATTAGGGTGATGGTGGCCTCATAGAATGAGTTTGGAAGTTTACCTTCTTCTGCAATTTTCTGGAAGAGTTTGAGTAAGATAGGTGTTAGCTCTTCTCTAAATTTTTGGTAGAATTCAGCTGTGAAGCCATCTGGTCCTGGGCTTTTGTTTGCTGGAAGATTTCTGATTACAGTTTCGATTTCCTTGCTTGTGATGGGTTTGTTAAGATCTTCTATTTCTTCCTGGTTCAGTTTTGGAAAGTTATACTTCTCTAAGAGCTTGTCCATTTCTTCCAAGTTGTCCATTTTATTGGCATAGAGCTGCTGGTAGAAGTCTCTTATGATCCTTTGTATTTCAGTGTTGTCTGTTGTGATCTCTCCATTTTCGTTTCTAATTTTGTTAATTTGGTTCTTCTCCCTTTGTTTCTTAATGAGTCTTGCTAATGGTTTGTCCATTTTGTTTATTTTTTCAAAAAACCAGCTTTTAGCTTTGTTAATTTTTGCTATGATCTCTTTAGTTTCTTTTGCATTTATTTCTGCCCTAATTTTTAAGATTTCTTTCCTTCTACTAACCCTGGGGTTCTTCATTTCTTCCTCCTCTAGTTGCTTTAGGTGTAGAGTTAGGTTATTTATTTGACTTTTTTCTTGTTTCTTGAGGTAGGCCTGTAATGCTATGAATCTTCCCCTTAGCACTGCCTTTACAGTGTCCCATAGGTTTTGGGTTGTTGTGTTTTCATTTTCATTCATTTCTATGCATATTTTGATTTCTTTTTTGATTTCTTCTATGATTTGTTGGTTATTCAGAAGCGTGTTGTTTAGCCTCCATATGTTTGAATTTTTAATAATTTTTTTCCTGTAATTAAGATCTAATCTTACTGCACTGTGGTCAGAAAAGATGACTGGAATGATTTCAATCTTTTTGAATTTACCAAGACTAGATTTATGACCCAGGATGTGATCTATTCTGGAGAAGGTTCCGTGTGCACTTGAGAAAAAGGTGAAGTTGATTGTTTTGGGGTGAAACGTCTTATAGATGTCAATTAGGTCTAGCTGGTCCATTGTGTCCTTTAAAGTTTGTGCTTCCTTGTTCATTTTCTGTTTAGTTGATCTATCCATAGTTGTGAGTGGGGTATTAAAGTCTCCTACTATTATTGTGTTACTATTAATTTCCTCTTTGATACTCGTTAGCGTTTGCCTTACATATTGCGGTGCTCCTATGTTGGGTGCATATATATTTATAATTGTTATATCTTCTTCTGGGATTGATCCTTTGATCATTATGTAGTGTCCATCTTTGTCTCTTTTCACAGTCTTTATTTGAAAGTCTATTTTATCTGATATGAGTATTGCGACTCCTGCTTTCTTTTGGTCTCCGTTTGCGTGGAATATTTTTTTCCAGCCCTTCACTTTTAGTCTGTATGTGTCCCTTGCTTTGAGGTGGGTCTCTTGTAGACAGCATATATAGGGGTCTTGCTTTTGTATCCATTCAGCCAGCCTTTGTCTTTTGGTTGGGGCATTCAACCCATTTACATTTAAGGTAATTATTGATAGGTATGGTCCCGTTGCCATTTATTTTGTTGTTTGGGGTTCACGTTTATACCACCTTTCTGTGTTTCCTGTCTAGAGAAGATCCTTTAATATTTGTTGAAGAGCTGGTTTGGTGGTGCTGAATTCTCTCAGCTTTTGCTTGTCTGTAAAGCTTTTGAGTTCTCCTTCATATCTGAATGAGATCCTTGCTGGGTAGAGTAATCTAGGTTGTAGGTTATTCTCTTTCATTACTCTAAGTATGTCCTGCCATTCCCTTCTGGCCTGAAGGGTTTCTATTGATAGATCAGCTGTTATCCTTATGGGAATCCCTTTGTGTGTTATTTGTTGTTTCTCCCTTGCTGCTTTTAATATTTGTTCTTTGTGTTTGATCTTTGTTAATTTGATTAATATGTGTCTTGGGGTGTTTCGCCTTGGGTTTATCCTTTTTGGGACTCTCTGGGTTTCTTGGACTTGGGTGGCTATTTCCTTCCCCATTTTAGGGAAGTTTTCAGCTGTTATCTCCTCGAGTATCTTCTCATGGCCTTTCTTTTTGTCTTCTTCTTCTGGGACTCCTATGATTCGAATGTTGGGGCGTTTCACATTGTCCCAGAGGTCCCTGAGGTTGTCCTCATTTCTTTTAATTCTTTTTTCTTTTTTCCTCTCTGCTTCATTTATTTCCACCATTTTATCTTCTAACTCACTTATCCTATCTTCTGTCTCTGTTATTCTACTCATGGTTCCCTCTAGAGTGTTTTTGATCTCATTTATTTCATTATTAATTTTTAATTGACTTTTTTAAATTTCTTCTAGGTCCTTATTAAACATTTCTTGCATCTTCTCAATCTTTATCTCCAGGCTATTTATTTGTAACTCCATTTTGTTTTCAAGATTTTGGATCATTTTTATTATCATTATTCTAAATTCTTTTTCAGGTAGATTCCCTATTTCCTCCTCTTTTGTTTGACTTGGTGGGCTTTTTTCATGTTCCTTTAGCTGTTGGGTATTTCTCTGCCTTTTCATCTTGTTTAGATTGCTGTGTCTGGAGTGGGCTTTCTGTATTCTTGTGGTCTGAGGTTCCTTTTTATTGTGGAGGTTTCACCCAGTGGGTGGGGTTGGACGATTGGTTTGTCAAGGTTTCCTGGTTAGGGAAGCTTGTGACAGCGTTCTGGTGCGTGGAATTGGATTTCTTCTCTCTGGAGTGCAATGGAGTGTCCAGTAATGAGTTTTGCGATGGATCTATGTGTTAGGTGTGACTTTGGAGAGCCTGTATGTTGACACTCAGGTCTATGTTTCTGCGTTGCTAAAGAATTTGCGTGGTATGTCTTGTACTGGAGCTTATTGGCTCTTGGGTGGTGGTTGGTTTTGGTGTAGGTATGGAAGCTTTTGGATGGTCTCTTATTCCTTAATGTTCCGTGTAGTCAGGAGTTTTCTGGTTTTCTCAAGATTTGGGCTTAAGTCTCCTGCCTCTGGATTTCAGTTTTGTTCTTCCAATAGTCTCAAGACTTCTCCAACTATACAGCACTGATAATAAAACTTCTAGGTTAATGGTGAAAAGATTCTCCACCGTGAGAGACAACCAGAGAGGTTCACAGAGTTACATGAAGAATAGGAGAGGGAGGAAGGAGATAGAGGTGATCAGGAGGAGAAAAAGGGGACTCAAGAGGAGAGAGACAGATCTATGCAGTTATCTGTTCCCAAAGTGTTCTCCGTAGCCCAGACACCCACAAAGATTCACAGAGTTGGATTGGGAAGAGAAGGGGAAAGGAGGAAATAGAGGTGTTCCGAGGTAGAAAACAGAGAGTCAAAAGTGGGAGAGTAATCACCACACTCCTGAATAGAAATGGGAACTGAATATTGGATTCTTAAATGACCAAAATTTATATCACATACTACTGAAAAACAAAGATTAAAAATCTAGTGTAGAGGTTAGACTCTTTGAAATACAATATTTAAAAACAAAAACACACACAAAAAATTTAGAAATGTATATGAAGTTTGTTTTAAAAATAGGGTTTCCTCTCTCTTTTTTTTTTTTGGCAAGGTTATAGTGAAATGAAAATGAAAATTAAGGAATAATAGAGGAGTATTAGAGGACTTTAAAAGGAAATAGGAGAGAAAAACAAGAAAAAGAAAAAAAAAGAAAAAAATTTTTTTTTCCCTAATTAAAAAAATCGTAAAAATACATGAAAATGAAAGTTCAGGAGTAATGGGGGAGTAGTAGGGAATTTTAAAAGAAAATAAAAGAGAAAAAAAAAAAGGATAGAAAAAAAAATTTTTTTTAATTAAAAAAAAAAATATATATATCTAGGAATTTCTCTGGAGTTGTTGCAGTCAGCGTAGGTTCAGTTCAATTTCAGATAGCTCCTCTTTCCAGCTTACACTTCTCAATATCTGTAGGCCCCTTCTGGTGTAGTCGGTGTTACCTTCAGGGATTTTAATCTGTTGCACCAGTCCTTTCTGAAGCGGTTCCCTTTGTTTATTTGGCTTCTGTTTGCCGTCTCTTTGGTGTCTAATTTCCGCCCTGACACAGGCGGGTGGAGGTGATCTCTTATTTAGGTTCGCTAGTTCAGTTCAGTCCTGCTACGGGGAGGGCGGGGCGCTGCAGACAGATACCGCTCTGTGTGGATAGCACTCACCGTGTTCCGGTCACACTGGGTTTGCTCCGCTCACGGGTGTCAGTGCTTTTGCCGTCCACACTGCTCAGGTTCCCGGCTGCTCTATATGGAGCGGGCCCTGCGTTGAGTGCGGTTCCAGTTTTCGGGTACTCCACAAAAGCGCGGATTCGGTTGCTCCTGCGTTTTGTGCCTTCCCCGGCCTGAGCGGCCCAGGCAGCCAGAGGCTTGGGCGTACTCTCCCTGGGTATGGCACGCCTTTTCCCTCCGCGTCGAGGGGCCCAGGCAGCCAGAGGCTTGGGCGCACTCTCCCCGGATGTGGCGCGCCTTTTCCCTCCGCGGCGGGCAGCTCAGGCAGCCAGAGGCTTGGGCGCAATCTCCCCGGGTACGGCGCGCTTTTTACCTCCGCGGCCCCAGCGTGCGCCGCCAGTCGGGTCTCAGGAAGTCTTTAGATAGGAACCGGGGGCCTGTTTGCAGTGTGGGAGGGGGTGGCTTCTCAGGGGCTGAGTTTGCCCTTTTCCCCTCCCCCCTGCCTCCAACCTCCAGCGGGGATGGGCCGGCTCTTCTCTGGACTTTCTCAGTCCCTTTGTTTTGCGAACCGCCGGCAGTGTGTTCGGGCCCTAAGCAACGCCGCCCGCTCCTCTCCGTCCCGCCCCCGCTTGTTGCTGGCGGGTACGGGCGTCTGGGGTACTTTTCTGCTGGGAGTTGCTTTTAGGCACGTAATCTGTGGGCCTTGTTTAATTTTTCCTCCCAGTTAGATTGCTGAAAACTTCCCCCAGTCCCGCCAGTGCGAGGGTTTCCTGGTGATTGGAAACTTCCTGTATTAAGACTCCCTTCCCGGACGGGTCTCCATCTGTAGCTCTTTTGACTCCCTTTTTATCTTTTATATTTTGTCCTACCTCCCTTCGAAGACAATGGGCTGCTTTTCTGGGCGCCTGATGTCCTCTGCTAGCGATCAGAAGTTGTTTTGTGCAATTTGCTCAGCATTCAAATGTTCTTTCGATGAATTTGTAGGAGAGAAAGTGGTCTCCCCGTCCTATTCCTCCGCCATCTTGGCTCCTTTCCCGTTAATTCCTTATTCTGTATATTTGTATAGTCATAAGCTTGTATTTATTAATATTTATCTTATGTCCTATAGGAGCGGAACATTTTCAATCGAATCTTTGGTGGTTTCCTTATGAGGAAAGCATATGAACTTGGATGGGCTACTGCTTGTAACTTCGGGTGAGTTAGATTTAAGGTAGTCTTGGCTTCCCTGGTGGCTCAGAGGTTAAAGTGTCTGCCTGCAATGAGGGAGACCTGGGTTTGATCCCTGGGTTGGGAAGATACCCTGGAGAAGGAAATGACAACCCACTCCAGTATTCTTGCCTGGAGAATCCCATGAACGGAGGAGCCTGGTGGGCTACAGTCCATGGGGTCGCAAAGAGCTGGACACGACTAAGCGACTTCACTTTCACTTTAACTCCTGAGAAGTCGTTTATACTACCACACTCAGGGAAATGTTTTGGGCCAGTCTGAATGTGTTTGGTAATATACGGTGTTTTTAAATAAATGCTACACTGGTTCCAGATGGGTTTGTTTTTTATTTAAATTTTTTTATTAGAATGTAATTGCTTTACAATATTGCATTGGTTTCTGCTGTACCTTGACATGAATTAGCTATAAGTATACATATATCCCCTCCCTCTTAAGCCTCCCACTCCACTCCCCTTCTCCCCCTCTAGGTCATCACAGAGCACCTAGCTGAGATCCTTGTGTCATAAGCAGTTTCTTACTAGCTGTTATTTTACATGTGGTAGTGTATATATGTCAGTGCTACTCTTCCAATTCATCCCACCCTCTCCTTCCCCCTGATCTTCATTTTAGAAGGCTCTTGCTCTGATGCTGTCAGTTAGTACATTAAAGACCTGCTGAGAAAAAGGGGTGATGACATGAAGCAGGGAAAAGATAATTTTGGCACTGATCTGGTCATAGTGTCATCTCTTAACCATTCCTTACTGGTGTGATTATTTCTTCCTCCTCTAGGTTTATTCTTTGATCTTTTAAAGTTTGCTTTGGAGGATTATTAGGGAAAAACTAGAGATCATCTGAATTTTGCAGTTGACCCCAAGTATTATCTTTCCCTGATAGTGGTTCCCGACCGTTTATAGTTGCCGTGGATGATATCATGTTTCAGAAACCTGTTGAGGTGGGATCGTTGCTGTTTCTTTCTGCGCAGGTAGGTGTATGATGAGACAGGGAAATATAATCTTTTATTATTTGGGCCTAAAAGAGAGGCTTTTATATTCTAAAGCCACCATTTGTCTTATGACTGCTTTCTTCCCTCTTCTTGATGCAGCTGACTAACTATCATGTCCCTAATCACTTAGGTGTGCTTTACTCAGGGGAATTACATTCAAGTCAGAGTTCACAGTGAGGTGTCCTCTCTTCAGGATAAAGAGCACATGACCACCAATGTCTTTCATTTCACGTTCATGTCGGAAAAGGAAGTGCCCTTGGTTTTCCCTAGAACATATGGAGGTAAGTGACAATGACTGCTTGTCCCTAACAAGGGGAACTTTCAAAGATATTTTTCTCCTTTTAGATTGTTGTAAGAAGTACTCTGATGCCCATCCGCCCGAGTGCATGTCTTTAAGGGATTGTGCTTTTGAGATTCTGCAGCCCTGAAAGTTAGGGTGCCTCATGGCCCTTAGGTGGTCATTGCTGTTCTGCTTGCCTGGCCATTGTCTGAAGGGCTGGTGCCAGTGCAAGCAGCCACTGGTGGTTAGGACTGGTCCTGCCAAAGGGCTGGAGTTGAGGCCCACTCCCTGGGGTATGTGGCCCATTCTCTGGCCCAGCATTGCATGCCTCATGTCAAGTTTGCATTCCCATTGCTGTCCCAGGGTTCCCAGGTGGTCTTGTGTTTGTACAATAATTTTCTTAGGTTTCTCCAGGGCTCGCTCTCTCTCTTGTGTTCCAGAGTCCATGTTGTATTTAGATGGGCAGCGGCATTTCAAATCTATGAGTGCACCAGTGACCTTGAAAATGGACTACGTGGTCGAGCCCTAGGAAGACTGCGCTTGTTGAAGGCCAGCACTCCACAGTGACACAGTGCCAGATGAAGGCCTGAGCGAGTGTGTCGGTTTTAGTGTTTATTCTCATCTTCCATGGAGATGAAGGATGTATTCGGCTTTTACGATGGTCAGAAAAGAGGAACGAGAAATGGCTGGGTGGAGCAGAGGGAGAAAGAATTATTGAATAATAAATACTTTTAAGAATTTAAATTGTGAAGCTACCATGTTGCCTCCTGTCTGCTTAGGAAATGAGGGCAGAATGTCTTTTTATGTGGCTGGACAGATTCTTTTTTTACACATATTGCAACTGTCAATCTACATGGTTTCCTGCCCAGGCATTTGGAGGGCATTTGTTAAACCTGACCTGTACTGCAGTTCCCCTTTGTTGTTTAAATCCTGTCTACCCTGTGTGATTCCTTTGTAATTTTACCTATTTCTATTTCCCAGCTTTTGTTGTTAGCAGAGGACAGATGAAAAGTTGAAGTGAAGGGATTCAACAAAAGACACAGCATTTGTAAGAACCTGTGGGACACTTTAGATCGGAAACCATACCAAGAGGAGGAGTTCACAGATGGTCTAGGTCAGGAGATGCAGGACCAAATGTTCCTTCTTCCACTCACCTGATAGCTCTTCAGTACACTCTGCTAGGGGCTGGGAATCTTATATCTGATGAAAAAATAGGAACAGTAATGGTAATATCAGCTGCTTATGCTTATGGAGCACTTGCCCTGTGCTAGATCACTGACACTGTGAGGTAGGCTGTGTAACCCACTCACTGGGTTCGGGCACTCAGGAATCTGAATCCCAGAGAGGTTCATAACCTGATCAGGCTCCTTCAGCTGGTCGATGGTGCTGCTGGGATTCATAACCAGGTAGTGTGGGGCTTGGTACTGCTTTCTGGGATTGTAGCCAGGGACGCTATGCCCAGTATCACAGAGCCACCTGGGAACCCAAAGGCACGTATTCCCATGAGTCTGTGGCCAAGACCCAGTTTCTTCTTTGATGTGAAGTTGATCAAGTACAGAAGAGAGAAAAACCAGGCTGCACAGAGGGGTAAAAAGTTACCTCTGGAAAGATGTTCCCACGAAAGAAACAGTGTGGGTTCTAGAATGGCTGTCACAAACTTGGCTATCTGCCTCTGAATCGGCTGTAGTACTTAAAAAAAATTCTATTAATGTAATGTTTATTGAAACTACAGTTACATGAATGAGTATTTCTGGCATAAATAGTCATGGGGACAAACAGCTGCTCTGGAGACAGGCAGTTGGACTCATGGCCCCCAGTGTGTGCCCATTGTAAGCTTGCTTGCATCTCTCTTCCTCCCCCCGCCCCTGGCCCCCTGAGCTGTATTCTCTCTACTACTGTTCTGAGTTTCACCTGGCCCTTCAGTACTGCATTTTGCAGGTCTGCCTGTAACCTGCTGGGGTCCCTGAGCTGCCTGGCAGGAAGAAGGGACAGCCCTGCGGAGTTGTCTGAATGTGTTAATAAGCAGAGTTCAGTTGAGAGACCCACTGCATGCTGATATATAGATTGTACATTATGCACTTAAGCGCTTATTGCTGAAGCTTTTGCAAGAAGTTTTCTTCCTGTTGTGAGAAATGTTGCAGTTAATATCCTAAAGCTAAAACATTTAATTCTTAAGTTGTTTTCTTTGGAAAACTGTTGATAAGTGATCTGTATGTCAAAATAGTATGCACAAGACTTTGAATATGTATTTCAAGTAACTCTCGAGCAGTTGTATACATTCATTTAACTTATTAGCAATTTTCCTGGATTTGGCTGAATTTTAACCTTTACTTTTATTTTTCTTAAAGTTTTTTTTTGATGGGGACCATTTTTAAAGTCTTTATTCAATTTGTTACAATATTGCTTCTGTTGTTTTTTATGTTTTGTTTTTTTTTGCCACTTGGCATGTGGGAATCTTTGCTCCCCAACTAGGGATCAGACCCGCACCCCTGCTTTGGAAGGTGAAGTTTCAACCACTAGGCCACCAGGGAAGTCCCTATCCTTTAGTTTTAAAGACATCTTTGCCATTTCAATAGGTGAAAAATGACATTTGTTAATTGCTTTCTTTGAATTTTACTGAGATTGAACTTTTAAGTATCGTTTTTTTTTTCAGTTAAATAACTTGAGTAACTTTGGATATCAGATTTTAAGTCAAATTATGTTGTCTACCAATAACAGTTTTAATATTGTAAGAGCTAGAGATTTTTATTTTTAATACAGTACTTTTAAGAAGATGAGATGAAGCAAACTCTGAAGGATACACAGTACGTTCTCGGTGTTCAGTGTTTTGTCCCTCTTCTGTAAGGAATAGCGGACTTTCAGCCAGTACCAGCCCTGCTGCTGGTCTAGTGCAAAACTTCCTAAAATGGGTGGGACATAGTTTTATAATAACTAGTCCATGTGGAGATACCCCATTTTACATCAGGTATTTATTACCATGTTCTTACTTTTTGCTCAGGTAGTTCTTCACTGGGAAGTCTTCAAGGATGATGTCTTTATTGTTAGTTTTCTTAAAAGAGTTCACTTCACATTAGTGTGCTCTGCACTGTGTTGTGTGTGTCCACATGAAGCTGTGGCTCCATTTCTCATGGTAACCAGAGTGTTCTACGTGACTATGTGTTCCCTTTGCAAGGTAGCAAAGATACCTCTGTATCTTCTGCTCTTTCTCCTCTCTGTTAATAGTAACTTGATTCCTGAAGAACTGAAGGTTGCCCTCCACCCCCACTCCAGGAAATTCACCATTTTATTTTTCATTTCTATGAGTTAGGGCAGAGAAAAACACTTGTCATCTTTCAGAAGACACATTTGATTCTGTGGTGTGGCTGGGCTCATGTGGGAGTTTCTTCTGCTCTTTGCGGTGTTGGCTGGCATCGCTCACGCAGCTGTGTTCAATCAGGAGCTCGTCTGGGGCTAGAACAGCTGGCCCATCAGCTGGGGCCGCTGGAATGGGTGGGGGCTAGCCAGGCCTCTCTGAGCAGGCTATTTGAATTTCTTATGTGGTGTCTTATGGGCTCCATGAGCAACCAGCCAGATTCCCAGCTCCTAACTGTGTCATCATCCTGCCTCTCAAAGTCATTTCTGTGAAGAGTGATCATGGTGTCATGGAAGTTCCCAAAGGTGAGCACTGGAAAGAAGCTACCAGTTAAATGATTGAGAGGTCACTGGTAAGAAAAAAAATGGTTTCAAAAAGCAATGGTGTCTGGGGTTGGGTGGAATGAGGCTGAGTAATTCCAAGCATCCAGCTCTCTTTCCTGGGTGAAGTCCTTGAACTCCGGTGAGATGCTCTTTGATAAACATTTTATATGTTTAAATTATAAACAGTACAATTTATGAGATTTTATAAAATTTCCTATTAATATTTTATTTACAAGAAACATCGGGAGGCACCGCATCAGATACCCCTCCTCTGGTAGTTTATAATGCGTATTAACTTACAAAAGACTTTGAAAAGTAGGGCCATCAGAACAACTCTTTTAACTTTTTAAATCAGCTTTTGTGAAACTTATTTGATTAAGGACTTTGTTGTCGTTGTTAATACCTATGAATAAATGGAACATATTAGGTGTTTTAATAGCTTTTACAAAGCCGTGATTATACTCTCTATTTTGTAACCTGGAAAGGTGTATGTATATTGTCCAAGGGGGAAAATATTATGCCCTTTTCTGCTATGGAGAATCAAGTATTAGTATTATGTTTCTTAACAAATTTATTTATTTTTATAATTTTTGTTTTTTTTAAACACCAAAAACACTTTGTGTTGAAAGAAAGTGAAAGTAAAGTTGCTCAGTTGTGTCCAACTCTTTGCGACCCCATGGACTGTAGTCTGTCAGGCTCCTCCGTCCATGGGATTTTCCAGGCAATAGTATTGGAGTGGGTTGCCATTTCCTTCTCCAGGGTATCTTCCCGACCCAGGGATCGAACCCGGCTCTCCCTCATTTTGTATTGGGATATAGCCAATTAACAGTGTTTTGGTACTTTCAGGTGAACAGCAAAGGGACTCAGCCATACATATACATGTATCTTAAAAACAAATTTAGAGCAGCATTTTAGATCTATCACTTTCCAGTGTTGTCAGTCTTGCTTTTTTTTAATGTTTACTTATTTAGTTATTTTGATCTTTGGCCTTGCCACGTGACTAGCAGGATCTTAGTTCTCTAACCAGGGGTCGATTCCATGCCCTCAGCAATGAAAATGGGGAATCCTAACCACTGGACCCCCAGGGAATCCTCAGTCTTGGTTATAAGTTTTTTATCTTGAAAGTGAAAGTCACTCAGTCATGTTTGACTCTTTGTGACCCCATGGACTATACAGTCCATGGAATTCTCTGGGCCAGAATACTGGAGTGGGTAGCCTTTCCCTTTACCAGGGGATCTTCCCAACCCAGGGGTTGAACCCAGGTCTCCCTCATTGCAGGCGGATTCTTTACCAGCTGAGCAGGAGTATAATTTCTCACTGTCACTGCTGATATTTTATAAAACATTAACATGTAACAGTGCATTTAACTTAAAAAATTCTGAGTAGCTCAGCTGGTAAAGAACCCTGGTTCGATTCCTGGGTCTGGAAGCTCTTCTGAAGAAGGGACAGGCTGCCCACTCCAGTATTCTTGGGCTTCCCTGGTGGCTCAGACAGTAAAGAACCCATCTGCAATGTGGGAGACCTGGGCTCGATACCTGGGTTGGGAAGATCCCGTGGAGGAGGGCATGGCCACCCACCCCAGTATTCTTCCCTGAAGAATCCCCATGGACAGAGGAGCCTGGCGGGCTGCTGTCCATGGGGTTGCAAAGAGTCAGACACAACTGAGTGACTAAGCATGCATACACACAATCTTCTAGCATTATGCCCCATTTACAAATGTGAAGAGGAAGGCAGAAGGAAATACATTAGGAAGCTGGAAAAGGTTAGTTTATAAGGTATTTGCATCCATTCTGATACAGAGGATACAAGTTTGTGTTTTTCAGTTTCTGTACAAGAGCCTCAGGTTCAATGATG